AGAACTGGGGCTTGAACGCAGGTCTGGGCACTGCCCTTGAGCTTTTTCACCCAGGCTGGCACCGTACCACTGGAGCCACAGCTCCATTTCTGGCTATTTAGTGGTTAATTGGAGATAAGAGTCACACAGGCTTTCCTACCCAGGCTGACTTTGAATTGTGATCCTTAGATCTCAGCCTCCTGAGTAGCCAGGTTTATACACTTGAGCCATTGGTGCCCAGCTAAAGATTATACTTCTTCATTTGACAAGCATCTATTTAGTTTATTTGCTTGTTTGTTATTTGAATTATCTGTTACTTTGGTGTTTTATATTTTGAGTTCTTTATATATTCTGGATACTAATCTCTGTGCATGAAGATCTGAAATCTGATTGGTCTGCCTGGTCAGGCATTGAACGACAATCTTCAGTTCTTAGCCTCTTCAGAAGCTAGGAATAGGAATACAGGCATGAGTCACTGGCAGTTAGCTTTATATTTAATTTGTAATCAAAACTGAATACGAATATAATTGAAATAATCAAATGGCACTACCATGTTGTTTAGCAAAATGGCATCCCTAACATGTCTCACCCCATTGTATCCACTTGCAAGTCTTAGCTAGTACTTAACAATTTTTTTTCAGACTTCTCACATCCTTAAGTTGGCATTTTTCAGTTTTATTTATATTTATTCTAGTATTATATATTATTATTCTATTGTGAGAATGCAGTTTGATTTCCCTCAGTGTTGCTCACTGCTCACTGATCACCTGTTCCATTTTTCCCATTTGTTTGTTGTTGTTTTTTTAAAGAAAAATAACAGTCTTACTTTACAGGCTATCCTCAAAATCATGGTTTTACTGCCTTTCACTAATCTGAGTGTTGAGATTATAGTATACATCACTATACATCACTATGCTTATTACCTTTTTTGATCTGTGACTGGGACTCAAACTTGGTAACTGATGCTTCACTCATTGGCTAGTGCTCTACCACCTGAACCTTGCCGCCAACCCAGCCTACCCATATTTTATGTTACTATTTTGTCTAATTTTTACTTACTGTGATTTGGACTGGTTGCTCTAGTATAAACCATGCATTTTAGTTTGTCTTTATGCTCATATCTTGGATTACATATGTTTTATTTTTTGTTTGCTCCCATTGGTTTACTTATTTATTTTTGTTGGTCATGGAGCCTGAACTCTGGGCCTGGGTGCTGTCCCTCAGCTCTTCAGCTCAAGGCTAGCACTTTGCCACTTGAGTCACAGCACCACTTTTGGCTTTTTCTGCTTATGTGCTGCTGAAGAATCGAACCCAGGGACTCATGCATGCAAAGCAAGCGCTCTACCACTGAGCCACCTTCCCAGCCTACTTTCTTTTTTTAGTGCAACATAGCCTTTGTGAGAATTGTTGCATGTAACAGTTGACATCAGTTTTCTAATTTATTAATTTTTATGCTAGGGCTGGGTATACAACTCTTTAAGTGGCAAGTCCTTTAGAAATTTGAATACCTGGTTCATTAGAATTATTATTTTCATTGTGGCTTTTGAGAAGTTTAAAACTTTTGTATGAGATTTTTTTTCTTTCTAGAATCATGTAGGGCATCCCCCTCCTTTTTTGGATGCCTGTCCTGGGGCTTGAACTGAGGTCTTGGGCATTGTCCCTGAGCTTTGGTGTTCAAGGTTAGTGTTCTACCACTTTGAGCCATGGCACCATTTCTGGCTTTTTTGGAGATAAGAGTTTCACAGACGGGCTGAGAAGGTGGCTCAGTGGCAGACTGCTTGCCTTGCATGCTTGAGGCCCTGGGTTCGATTCTTCAGTACCACATAAGCATAAAAAGCTGGAAGTGGTGCTGTGGCTCAAGTGGTAGAACATGTGCCTTGAGCTGAAGGGCTCAGGACAACGCCCGGGCCCAGAATTTAAGCCCCACAAAACAAAACAAAAAAGTCTCACAGTCTTTCCTGTCTTAGCTGGCTTTAAATCATGATCCTCAGATCTCAGCCTCTGAGTAGCTAGGATTACAGGTATGTGCTACCAACACCTGGCTAGGACTTTATTTTTGGGCACTGGTAATTTGCAAAAGCTGATTGGAAGCCCCAAGGATGTAGCTTTCGAATGTAGAGTTTCCTGGTGTCTGTTCCTCAGGAACTTTTGGGTCTAGAGACTGACTACTATAGTCAGTTTCCTAGTGTCTCCCACTTCAGAATTGAGCAGGTGACTACTGATCAGCAAACACTTGAGGAAGGCTTACAACACTAAAGACAAAACAACATCCCAAAACAGGCAGCTCATTGTAAATAGACATTGCAGATGGAACCCAGCACGTTAAGGTCTTCAGAGAGATATGAACACTCTTATCAAAGGAAGAATCAAAGAGCAATAGCTCTCAGGATTTGGAGGACAGCTGCTAGCTAGCAATGGAACCCAGGGCCAGTTGCATGCTGTGCAGGTGCTCTGCTACTTAACTGCATCCTAGCCACTAAAGCTCTTGGAAATTCAACAGATGGACAACTAAGCCAGGCAAGATTGTGCCTATAGTCCTAAGTATTTGTGAAGGTGAATCAGGACTATCCTTGAGCACTGAAGTTAGACTAGCTTGGGTAACATATTAAGAAAAAAATAAAAAGGAGCAAAAGAATGGTAGCTGAAGAAAACCTGTCACCAAAAGGGCTGGTTATGCCTCGAGTGTGCAATCTGGCTTCAAGTTGTAGAAGGCCAGAGGGGAGAACATTTAGTAATGCTTTCAACCCTCTGTTTTTACTTGGGCCTCTTGCCCTCTGTTGATTGCTTACAACTCAAGAGTCTCTTATTTTGCTTATTGCAGGTCATAAACCTCCAATTTTTCTGGTGTGGAGGAGCAGTGAGAGTAGTCCTTGGCTCTGGGAGTAACGCCTGGGTTCTAGGGTCCCTTCATTAATGAGCTTTTCCATACACTTCTTCCATCTTCCTGTTAGTGAGCTCTGTTTGGTGCTTTGGTATTCTTGCTGACTTTCTCTACTTTCATCCTAGCCACCAGCTTTCCTGGTACTAATGGGATAGTTATTATTCCTTTGCTTTTCAGCTTCCAAATAATGTTGACCTTTTTTATTTTCTGTTTTCTTTGCCCTGTGGGTTTCTAAACAAGAGTAACATTTCAGTAGAGTTTCAGTAGGGTTAAAAATAAATGTGTGTATTCAATTCATGATCTTCATCCCCTAATTTCCTTTATCTTTTTAAAAAAATTAATACTTTTTTAATTGTGAAAATATCATACAGAGGGGTTACAATTACATGAGCAAGGTAATGAGTACATTTCTTATCAAGCATTGTTGCCTCCTCCTTTGTTTCCTCTTCCCATCCCTGCCCTCCCATCTCCTCCCCCTCCCTTTATCTTCTTGTGTCAAATACTAGTTAGTTAAATTGAATGGAGAGATAAGTTGACCAAATGTTTAGTATTCACTAAATTACAAATAAAAACTTCATTCATAGTTTATAATTTCCACAACACCAGGCAGGCAGAGAATTAAATCCCATAAGCTATTCAATATTTGTAGAAGTGTGTGTGTGTGTGTGTGTGTGTGTGTGTGTGTGTGTGTGTGTGTGTGTGTGTGTGTGTGTGTGTGTGTGTGTTCGTTCACAGCCTGGGTCCTCTCCCTGAACTTTTGTGCTCAAGACTAGCACTCTACCACTTGAACCACAGCTTCACTTTTGGCTCCCCCCCCCCCCCACTTTGGTGGTTAATTGGAAATAACAGTCTCATAGACTTTTT